TAAATAAAGAAGAGTTTGATCGTAAACATAACCGCAAGCATGAATTCGAAAACGAGAGTGAGGCCGAACAAGAGCATGAATTTGGAAAGGAAAGTGAATCCGAACAAGAACACGAGAACGAATTTAAAAACGGCCATAGTCATATAAATAAAGAAGAGTTTGATCGTAAACATAACCGCAAGCATGAATTCGAAAACGAGAGTGAGGCCGAACAAGAGCATAAATTTGGAAAGGAAAGTGAATCTGAACAAGAACATGAGAACGAGAACGAATTTAAAAACGGGCATAGTCATATAAATAAAGAAGAGTTTGACCGTAAACATAACCGCAAGCATGAATTCGAAAACGAGAGTGAGGCCGAACAAGAGCATGAATTTGAAGAACATGAGAACGAGAACGAATTTAAAAACGGGCATAGTCATATAAATAAAGAAGAGTTTGATCGTAAACATAACCGCAAGCATGAATCCGAAAACGAGAGTGAGGCCGAACAAGAGCATGAATTTGAAAAGGAAAGTAAATTCGGACAAGAACACGAGAACGAATTTAAAAGCGGACATAATAATATAAATAATAAAGAAGAATTTGACCACAATAATAATCACGAATTAGAACAAGGGCATGACCACAAGCAAGAATCTGAAAACGAGAGTGAGTCCGAACGAGAACATGAATTTGAAAAATCCGAACAAGAACATGAATTTAAGAACGAAGGTGAATTCGAACAAGAACATAAATTTAAAAGCGGGCATAGTCATATTGACAACAAGCATAACCACGAATTAGAACAAGAACATAGTCATAAGGAAGGATTTAATGGCGAATCCGAACAAAGACATGAAAACATAATCGAATCTGAGAACGGACATGATCATAAAGAAGAGTTTGACCGCAAGAATAACCGGGAACACGAATTTGAGGATAGCCATAAGCATGAATCTGCGAAAGAGAATGAACGTATTAGTAACCACAAAGAAGGATTTAATAACGAGGATGAAAATGAATTTAAAAACGAACGCGTCAATTTATATAAGCACAAAGAAGGGTTCGATTATAAATATAACCGGGAACACGAATCAGAACAATAAGAGAACGAATCCGAAGACAAATTCGAAGATGGGCATTATCATGTAAATAAGGATAAGAAAGAATTCGATTAAAGAACACGAATTGAAAAAGACGAAGAACATATTATACATTAGAACAAATCTTAATAATATGGACATGAGAGCTAGGAAGATAAACGTATAAAGCAGGCGCAGTAATATAAAAGATATTATAGTTTGATTAAGAACTTGAACATAGATGATATAATTGTATAGATAATATTCTGTCGTAACAGTTTTTTTTTTTTTTTTTTTTATAAATAATAATAATAATAAATAATAAATAACGAATAAAAAATAATAATAATAATATTTCGTAAGCTCAAATTATGACAATTTGTGAGATCTTTGAATAATATAAAATAATCAAAATTAAGTTTATCATCTAATTTTTTGCAAACAAACTATCACATATCAAGCTATTGTTAAATTTTAAACAAATACGCATGCACTCATGATACGTCACAATTCAAAAATGACAAAGAAAACCGATTTTAAAAATTCCCCTTTTTGAATTGCTGCAGAATTTTAGTCCTAGCTCCGAGATATTTTAGTTTATAAGAAAAAAAAAAAAAAAAAAAAAAGCTACATTTTGAAGAAGTGATTATTACGTTAATGTCTTCATTTCCTACAATTTATAAAAACGAAAATTTAGATCATGACATTATTATCACTAATGATAATGATAGAATAGATACAACTAGTCCTTCTAGTCCTTTATTACCATCCAATTTTAATAGTAATGCAAAACTTCCATCATACTATCGTTGGTTAATATTATTAGGATTTTCTTTACTTACATTATCATCAGCATGTTTATGGATAACATTCGCACCATGTCTATACATATTTATGTCATATTTTTCCCAAACACCTTCAAGTATAAATTCTTTATCATCAGTTTATATGATAATGTTTCCAATATTATTAATTCCTTCTATAAAATTTTTTAATAAGTACGGAATAAAAACTAGTATAATTTTTGGTGCTTTTTTAAATGCTTTAGGAGCTTTCTTAAGATATTTAGGAACATTAAATAAATCATATATAGGATTTTGGATATTATTTTTAGGACAAACTATAGATTCAATAGCTCAACTTTTTATGTTAAGTGTACCTTCAAAATTAGCGAATATTTGGTTTTCAGAATTTGGTGAACAAAATTTTGCAACTTCTGTTGGTGTTACGGCTAATAGTGCTGGTGTTGCTATTGGGTATGTGATTATGTAATTTTAATTGTATGTGCGTGTACGTATTAATTTTTTTAGAAAATGAAGAATTAATATGGATAATAAAAAATTTTTATTTATTATTTAATGTTAATGTCAGATTTTTATTATCTCCATGGATGATTAAGGAAAAGACAGCAAATCATGATATACCAAATTACCTTTTCCTACAATTTGTTGCTTGTTTAGCGATTTATTTATTTTTGGCAGTTACTTTTAAGACATCACCATACATATACACAAATAGGTAATGTAATTTATTCTCTTAAATATACATATATATATATATATATATTAATTAATTATTAATCGTTTAGACACAATGCTGTTGAATGCGAAAGAACCAATTCATTATCGACAACTAAACCTTCAGATTCCAATATTAGTTATTATCTGAATGATAGACCGTTCATGATATTAACACTATCTTACGGGATTGTTACCGGTGGTGAATATGCTTTAAGCACTCTATTGTCCCAAATGATATTACCAGTATTTAAAACACTTGACGAGGTAACTATTATTAATTATCAAAAGAAAAAAAATGATGAAAAAACATCACTAATTCTTTATTATCAAAAGAAAAAAATGATGAGAAAACATCACTAATTCTTTATTATCATTAAACTTTCAGCTACTATAAATTCCTTATAGCTAATATTTAATTATGTATATTTTAATAAAGTCAACGATTGGGTTTTTAGGGTTCATAATAGTAATTTTCGGAATGTTAGGAACCTTAATGATTGGATTATATTTGGATCGCACGTTGGCCTTTAAATCATCTTTTCGGTGGTTATATATCTGCGTTATTATATCTTTAGGACTATTTAATATTGCGTTAAAATATGAGATAATTGAACTAGTATATTTTTCAAGGTTTGTTTCTTTGTTAAATTTAATTTGAATTTATTTGTTAATTTTTATAAATAAATAAATAAATTCATGCATTTTCTTTATTATAGCATATTATTTGGAATATTTTCATTTGGTAAGACATTTTCTCATAATATTAATGGATATTATATATATACAATTAGTAATATCTATTGAAATCACCTATTTTCTTTTTTAGCAATAGCACCAGTGGTAATCCAATATGCTACAATAATCATATCCAAAAGATTATCAACTGATGAGATCATAACTACAGGAATCTTAAACTTGTCTGCACAAGTCTGGGGACTTTTATTCATTTCTTCAATGGATTCGTTAGAAAATTTAAATAAAAAATTTACAATGGAATTACCAAATTGGGTTTTGTTCGTGTTTATGATAATTGGGTTTTTGTTAATGTTTTTGATTTCACCGACAGAAAATGAGAGTTACGATGTAGATGAACAAGAAAATTCCAGTCTATTACAATGAATTAAAATAAAATTTAATTTATTAGATTATATATAGTTTATTACAATAGTAGAAGTTAGGAAACTTTGTAGAAAATGTAACAAATGTAATAAATGTAATAAATGTAACAAATGTAACATTAAGCCAAATTGATTTTTGATTTTCACAATCACAATTTGCAAATTGACAATTTACAAACTTTGGTTTTATTTTTTATATTATAATCGGGTGGATTTTTTAGATTAACAAAACTAATTTAAAATTTTTGTGTTATGAAGGTTCGTATGGCCTTACCATTAATTAATTAGAATACGCTAAACTTTGATCCTTAGATATGATTCTAATGGTTTCTTTTATCTGTTTCAGTAAATATTCTTTTTTAATATACAAGTTGTAAAGAAAAATTGAATTATTACTGAGAGTATTATTATAAAAGGTTTTTAATTCATGATTTTAATATTTTACCAGCATTTTGAACCGCTTTTTTATATTCTTCATTAGCCTCTTTTAGTTCTTCATCTAAAGATTTAAGTATTTCGATCTATATAAAATAAGATTGGAAACCTTTCATTAATCATTAATAATATAAACCTAATAACATAAACAGAAGTAGAAAACAATACAGATATCTCTCTCTAAACCGGTGACTTTCTTCGAATTAGTTGTGAGTAATAGTGAGCAAATTGTTCAATTATTGATTATAAGCCGTTTATACTAAACATTATATTTATTGAAGTTTTTATTTATAAAATTCTTTGGAAATTTGTAACAACGGCATAGAGAGAGTGTATTGAAATATTGGTTTAATAATACTTGTTCTGCTTCCGAATGATTTATACCCGGTAAAGCATCAATTAATAATTCTATTTGTTTTGCTTTTTTACAGATGTCTTGAACATGTTCTTGTTGCACATCTTTTTTAAAAAAACATTAAATAATAAATTATTTAAGATTATAGAAATATCTTAATGTATCTTTATCAAATTCATACCTTTGTTTGGATCTATAATAACACAAGAAAAAAACGATAATTTAATGATTTTAATTAAAAATATAATATTATTAAAAGAAACTTAACTTATTCACTTTTCAGTTCAAAAATAATCATACCTTGCATATTTAAATGATGAACTACTATAAAAAACATGCGAGCAATCTTTATTTAATTAAATTTAACATTTTCTAAGCATTTTTTAAATTTTAAACATGGAAATTTGTATAAATTCTACTATTACGTACACTATCTATAGAGTCTTGTAATTGAGTAAGTATATCCATATTTATAGAGGTATTAGTTTCGAGTAAAATTTTCGAGTTTGGAGTGAAAGAATTTTGCATGAATGAAATTATTATTATTATTACTATAGTCTATTTTATTTTATTTTCACAGTATTATACTATCAGCTATAGAAAATTTTTTTTTTACAAAGATTTTTAAGCCTTAAAAATTATAACAAATTCTTAATTATGATTGGTCAATTAAATTAGAATATCTGATCCCTAGAGCTTTCTGGTAATTTACCGATGATAACTTACCGTTTACAACCCTGAACTTACCATGGTAGGTTACTATGGTATGTTACTGGCAAGTTATTAAAGTAGCATGAGCTACGTTTATTCGTAACTTAAACTGTTATCATTTTTTATGGTAACTCTAACTCTTGGTCTACTGGTTTAAAGAAACCATTAGAATCAGAAAAAAAAAAAAAAAATCAAATCAAATCGTGTATAATAAAAAAGATTTTTTTAATTCCTTCGGAATTTTAACTACTAATATCTTTTCTGCACATGACTAATATTCGTGTTACATTATTAGCTTTGTTTTTTTGTGTCCAATTGTTTTCGAGTGTTGGCGGAATAAAATAACTAGCATTACCGTTTAACGCTGAAAACGTCTCAAACTATTCGAAATGGATATTTCTGAGATTACAACTAGTTCTTCCGTTAATGGAGGAGGTGAGGTCCTACAAATGAATGAGCTTGGTTTCTTTCCCAGTCGGTAGATCTCTCTGAATCAACCAAGTTATATCAAAGATCTTTCGTCAAGAGCTTTTATTAAATACTCTTGATAAAAAGTAGATCTTTTCAAAGAATTTTCTTTAGTCGTCTAAGACAGCTCACCGATCTGATTTTTTTGTTTAATCGCATAACTATACAAGAATTCTTTCTGATCTAAATTATTCGCGATCACAGACGTCGAGAACCTTACTGCTCAGATTGAAAAGTTGGATACCCAAGAACGTAAGATTGAAAATAATTTTAGAATTTATCAATAAAATTGATTTCTTTAATTCAACTCTAGATTTTTTTTTTTTTTTTTTTTTTTTTTAAAAAAAACAGCAAAGCATAGATCGTTACTAGAATCGAGCTATGAGGTTAAAGTCACAAGAGTTGATGATGAACCTCTACTTTCTGTGACTAAATTCGAAGAATTAAACTTGTAAGAATTCAATATATATATATATATATACATATGGGGTTAACACAATATTAGAACTTTTTTTTTTTTTTTTTTGAGATTTAATATTAAAAATTCGAACTTAATTTTTGAAACTAGGGGTCCAGACTTATTGAAGGGTATATATGAAATGGGTTTTACAACTCCATCAAAAATTCAGGCAAAAGCATTACCCTTACTTCTCAAAAAGCCGTATGTAATTTTTAATTTTTTTTAAATTATTATTTTTAATGATTTTTTTTGATTCATTTTATATCTTTTATTAGACCGCAAAATATGATTGGTCAATCTCAATCCGGTACTGGAAAAACAGCTGCATTTGTGTTAACTATGTTGAGTCGAATAGATTTTAATTTGAAATCTCCACAAGTAATATTTTTAATATTATATATAGTTTAAGTTATATTAGTTCTTCTGTGAAAATTTTTAATTTTTTTTTTTTAAAAAAAAAACAGGCACTTTGTTTGACACCCTCAAGAGAACTTGCTCGTCAAATCATGGTGGAAGTCAGAAAAATGGGAAAATATACACCGGTAATAACCGCAGAAGCTATTAGAGAGTCTCATATTAGAGGTAATAGAAGTAGGCATGAAGAATTTGCTGAAGCCCAACTTATAGTTGGTACACCTGGTACCGTTTATGATCTACTTAAGAAACATGTGATAGAAAAAAAACACATGAAAATTTTCGTTCTAGACGAAGCAGATAATATGTTGGATCAACAAGGATTAGGTGATCAAAGTATAAGAATTAAAAAGTATATAATATTAATATTCTTTAATAGCATTCATTTATCATTGTTTTTTTAATATATAAATATCATTTTTTTTTTTTAATGATTAGTAATTTATCATTGTTTTTTTAATATATAAATATCATTTTTTTTTTTTAATGATTAGTATGATGCCTCGTGAATGTCAAATTGTACTCTTTTCGGCTACTTATTCTAGTGAAGTAAGAACTTTTGCTACTAGATTTGCACCCAATGCAAATCAATTCAGCTTAAAAGTTGAAGAATTATCAGTGAAAACTATTAAACAATTCTATATGGATTGTAAAAATGAAGATCATAAATTTGAAGTTTTAGATGATTTATATACTTTATTAACAATTGGACAAAGTATCATTTTCGTTCAGGTAAAATTTTTTTATTGTAGCTAAAAAAAAATGTTTTTAAAATAAAGTACTAAAAAAAAATTAAATCATTCAAAAATTTATAGAAACGAGAAACTGCTGATCGAATTGCTAAACGTATGACTGAGAAAGGTCATAAGGTCATTAACCTTCACGGTGGTCTTTCAACGACCGAACGTGATGAAGTTATGGATGGATTCCGTAAAGGTAGTGCTAAAGTATTGATTACCACCAATGTTCTCTCACGCGGTATCGACGTGTTACAAGTAAATCTTGTAATTAATTACGATATACCAATGGATTTGAGCGGTAGAAATCCTGATTATGAGACATATTTACATCGTATTGGACGTACTGGAAGATTTGGACGTAGCGGAGTTTCCATTAACTTTGTTCATGATCCTGTTAGTTGGGAAGTTGTAAAATCTATAGAAAAGCATTTTCAACGTGAAATTGTGAGGGTACCTACTGATGATTGGGATGTGGTTGAAAAGGTTTTGAGAAAAGAAGTTAACAATTAATTTAAAATAAAATTTTATTATCCACGTGTATGTATACAATCACGGGATATATTTATATATATATATATATACGTATCTATATCATATACGTATCTATATCCATACGTATCTATATCCATATCCATATCGTTAATTGTTTAAACTATGATCATTATTTACATTAACTAGAATAGTTATAATATTCTTTTTTCTTATTGGTTTTACTTGATTTTAGCAAACAACAAATAAAATGACTTGTGCGTTTCATCCTTTTAAATTTATTGAAAAATGTCTGTTAGTAATAAGAATGATGTTGAAGTATCTGATAAGACTTCTAATAAAAAAGTCGATAATATCCGTAGTGGTAGTAATATAAGAAGTTCCAGTGTATATTGATAATGTAAGACATGCGGTTTGTAAAGTTGAGACAGTAAAAAGAAAAAAATGCGGTACAAAGTTAACACATC